GGGTTTTATCTGATACCAAATAATAACAAGCTATTACTGAGATGCCTTCTGGTCTTTGAGCTGTAAGGAATTTATTTTCTGTTCTCTGTTTTTGTGCTCACGTAGTATTGCTTGAGGTTGGTGTGTACAAGTGCTTGGAAATTCCATGATATTCCAAAGGAAAAGTCAATTTTCACAGCCTATCACCAGGAAAAATATGGTTACAATTCCCCTCTTATTTCTCCTTTACTTTTTAATTAATTTTGGCTGATATGGATATTTAAGATTAGCAGATAAGCACAAATTTAAACACCAATCTGAACCTTTGGGCCACTCTGTTTTATTTTATTTCCTGCATGGAAAAAGTCCTTGGAAAAAGGACTTGAACCCTGATAGGCAATGGTGATGAAAATCCAGTTGCCTCCTCCCAGTGCTCAATTTGTGCCAAGCAGCAGAATTTAGGGAATGATGAACATCACAGCTGATTCTCCTGCCACCCATCACCGAGGACATTTATTAACCCAAACCTCAGCACAGCTGCAGTTTCCAGCTTGTTTCCACTGTGAAAATCTCAAATTATTTCCTAGATTATCAGCAGTTATTTCAACAGTGAGAACTGATTGTCTACATAACCTCAGCCTGCACGTTTTACCCAGGAATTCCTGAATTAACTCCTGGGAGCTGAGCTGTAATTTGTATTTTGCCTTCAGAGTCAAGTGACTTGTTCCAGGCTTGCAGAGGTTTCTGAGCCCCTTGATCAAAAGGGACCAAAAATAAAGTTATATCAGTTATTTCCAATAATCTATTTACAATTTACTGTACATCCATATGCTCTTAGAGCCTTGAGAAGATTCGTTAAGGTCCAAATGTGCCTTCTGTTCCAAACCATTCCATTTGGTTCTCAGGAATTCCTCCAAGTAATTTGCTCCCACCTGCATGAGTTTTGGAATGATGTTCCTGAAAACTGGGAGGGAAACCACCGATGTATTAAAAGCTGAATAACAGCACCTGCATGTGAATATTTCCACTGAGATCAAGGCCAAGCTTTGCCAGGCGTTGTGCAAAAACATCCTGAGGGTTCATCTCCTCCACAAAGTTTATAAACACAACGACAATTCCCTGGGATTTATTGATAAACTGGCCCTGAGTGGGAAAACAAACACCAGCAGTTTGTTTGCTCCACAAAAAGCTCCAGCTGGAAGGGAAAGAGCTTCGTTCCCCTGCCACCCAGGAACGCTTCCAGCCTCACATCTGAGGGATTTCAAATAAACACGGCAGGAAATTCCAGCTTTCCAGGAGCAGGAGTCACCTCCCACAGCCAGGGAGGAACAATGCAGGGAGCAAATTGCTCCCTGTGGGAACTCGGTGACCTCCTGAGCAGCAGAGCTGTGCCCAGAGCTGTGCCTGGACTGTCCCCGTGCTCCCTGTGCCTGCCCCTCTCCAAGGAGAGCTGCTGTGGCAATTCCAGCTGCACACCAGCACCTCAGCAATGGACATTTAGCAGTGCCCAAGTTCAAGCAGGGCTGGGGGGAACTGTAAAATTAACAAATTGATGTTGGTATTTAATTTCTTTTATTGTTCATTCATTTCTTTCCTCCTCTGATTTCCACCTGTGAGGTGAGGGAGTGCAAGCTGGGGGAATATTCCTTGTCCTTCCCAGGTTTCCCTGTGGACTGAAGGGAGATTTTGAGCATTTCTCAGCACCCAAATGACACCACCAAGTTTCCTCATCATTGCTGATGCTCACAGCCTTGAGATTTCCACCTGTGGTAAAATTGGAATAGATCCTAACAATCCAATAAAAGATTTTAGCTTAAATCCAGGCTCAGCTTTACAGATGCTCAAATTGCAGTGGGACCCCCTTTCTCTGTGCTGGGGCTCCTGCTTCAAAATGCTAGAAAAGGAGACAAAAATCAGCAAGTTTTAGCTCAATTATAAGAGCAGCCTATAATCTAGGATCCAATTAAAAGGATATTTGAGTGTATAACTCACAGGAGCATCCTGTGGAGTGCAGCACACACGGCAGATCTCACTGGGAAGGGCTCTTATGCTCTCAGTTGTTTCATTCCCAGTGTAGAGCTCTGGCTGCAGGGAAAATTTGGGTTGTTTGGGGGACACAGTGTCAGATTTTAAAGCAAACTGAGTCAGGGATGACACAGTGCTGATGCGGAGCTGGCTGGCAGGGCTTGGAAGAAGCACAGCCCTGTCCTGGTTACTCACTCCTAGCCATGAACTTGGCCCCAGCTCAGCTCCTGGCTCACTCATCCTGTTCTGCACGTTCTGTGGCACATCTCCCTGAGCACCGAGTGTCCAGCACCACTCCCAGCCCGTCCCGAGCCCTCTGAGTCCTGCCTCAGCCTCCCCTTCCTGCAATCCGCACAAAGGCGCTCCCTGCACCCCCAGCCGGGAGACAGATTGGAAGAAGACTCCAGGACACTCGGCAAAACAACAGAAAATTTTAAAAAAAGGAAGAAAAGAAGGTAAAGAACACCAGCACCTCCCATCCAGCCTGATCCAGCTTTATTCTCCATCACCAGGGAGGAAAACGCCCAGCCAAAATAAAGTCTGGGCGTCCTCCGGGACGGCTCCAGCCGGGCGAGCCGAGGCTGGGCGGAGGTACCGAGCGCCTGTTCCCGTTTCTCCCGCCCCGTTCCCCCTTCCCTGCCCTGCCTGGCCCTGCCTGGCCCTGCCCCGCAGGGCGCAGCTCCGCTCCGCGCATCCCTGTCCGCCCCCGGGGCAGGCACAGCGGGGATGGCGGGGATGCCGCGGAGCATCCTCGGGGGATGCGGCGGGGGCCGTGCCGTGCCGTGCCGGGCTGGGCAGGGCTGGGCTGGGCTGGGCAGGGCTGGGAAGGGACGATAAAAGGCTCCGGGAGCGCCAGCACCGCCTCCCCGGCCGGGCAGCCCCAGCCGGGCGCAGGTCCCGGGCACGCAGAGCCGGAGCGGGGTGAGGATTTTGGGGGTCCCGGGTACCCCCACCCCAGTGCCGGGATGGGGTCGGGGTCTGGTTCCCCCGCCGGTGCCCGAGGGCAGAGGTGCTTTGGCAGCGGGAGGGTTGGCGTTGTGGATTTCCCGTTCGGGAAATTTGGAAACGGTGCTAAGGAGGCTCGGGAGGGGGACAGGGTTTGTTCTGCTCCTTTCGGTTTTTGTGAGGTTTTCCCCCATGGATGTGCTGGGTGGATATGGAGGATGGTTGGGGTGAGCACGGCTTTCCGAGGGGCTGCTGCCCTCCTCACGCTGTCCCTCCGTGTCCAGCAGGATGGTTCCCATCGTCCTGGAGGTGACCTGCAGCTTTGTCACCTGGCTGTGTCTCTACAGCTGCTTCTGCCGCTGGAACAGGCAGCGTTCCTACAAGTGGAGCTGTCGCCTGGTCACTCTCCTGCACGGGCTCATTGTCACCTGCCTGTCTGGCTATGTCATGTTCCTGGATGGCCCCTGGCCTCTGACCCACGCAGGTATGTTTGGAATCTCACCTGTGCATCTGTCACAGGTGGAGCTAGGGGCTGATCTCCTCTCCTCTTAACAGCTGTGTGTTTGGGGCCAAATGTTGTTTAATTCTGCTGCTACTTTTTCCACCACTTCTCATTGTTCTTCCTTCTGTTATTTTAATTTTTTTTTGTTTGTTTTTTGGCTTGTCCATGTACAAATTGGAAGTTTCCAGGTTGGCAGCTTGAGTTTATTGCAGCATTAGGCGCAGCAAGGTGTGGAGAACAAAGTGCTTTCACATCTTGAAGGTTGTAATAACTCCTGAAATTCAGCTGCAGGGTTTTGCTGGCTGTTAAACCTCAGATAGTGCTGCTGATGGAGGTCTGGCTTTTCCAAAAGGCTGGAAGGAGAAGGGACGCAGCAGGGGGACAAGATGGGATGGGTCAGCTGGGCAGGCTGGGGTGTGAAGGGAAAGCAGAACCAAATATCCCTAATGGCCCTTGGATGAGGCTGGAAATTTAGGAGGAGAGAAGCACAATCGACTGTACTGATGCGTAAAGTAGAAAAAATCTTAAATAAAACCCCAGGCTTACGCACATCATCCATTCCAGGTTCACCAAACACCCCTCTCCAGATCCACGTGCTGTCCCTGACCTTGGGCTACTTCATCTTTGACCTGGCCTGGTGCCTGTACTTCCAGACCGAGGGGGACCTGATGCTGCTCCACCACACCCTGAGCATCTGCGGCATGATCCTGGTGCTGGGGCTGGGCAAATCCGCCACGGAGGTGAACGCCGTGCTGTTTGTCAGTGAAATCACCAACCCCCTGCTCCAGACCCGCTGGTTCCTGCGGGAGTTGGGCTCCTACCACACTTCCCTGGGAAAAGTGGTGGATTTCCTCTTCGTGCTCCTCTTCCTGGTGCTGCGGATCGGCGCGGGAGCGTGGATCATGTACGGCATGGTGACGTCCCCCGAACCCAACTGGCTCCTCAAGGCTGGGGGCCTGGCCATGTACGTGGTGTCCTTGGGGTTCATGGTTGAAATTTGTCGCTTTGTAAGGAGGAAAATGTGGAAAAAAGCCCCTTCCCTGGACGCACAGTCTCTTCAGGAGTAGGAGGGTACCTGTGGAAACTTCTTGGCTGCTCGTTAATGGGTTGTAGAGGATGATCCCCTGGGTTTGGGCCTGGCTGCTGGAGCTTGTTCCTGTGAAAAGAACTCCTAAAATGACAGAGAATTGACTTTCTGCTGCCCCTGGAGGAGATGGATCGGTGCTAGGAACGTGGAAAAGCTGAGAGAAGAGGGATTTGAGTGGAAACTGAGGAGCCTGGCACTGATTCCCTGAGTTCTCCAGCAATGGCACAGTCCCAAGGAGGGTGGCAATGCCAGAGATGATCAATCTGCAACCAATAATTGCACAGTTTGTGTGTTCTGTCCTCATTTTCAATGCAGAGTTATTTGACAGTGTAGAGAAAATCAAATATGAAAAACCCCATTTTCCTGCCAGTGGGACTGGGTAAGGGGCGTGACCTGGCAAAGATTTCCTGAGCCTCACCCTCCTTAATAATCCTGGATTTGGACAATGTGCTTGGCTAAATACTCGAGTGAAAGACTCTGAACAAGACTGAAGTGCTTGCAGGGGTGTAGTGGAGTTGTCCTTTGAGTGTGAAGTGATGGTACTCAAGGTGAGGCCATGTTTTACCTCCTTGTTTTTAATGACACATTTCCTTTACTCCTTTTTTAACACTTCCATCGGGGCAGGTGCTGATCTCAGAGCAGAGTGATTTCTCTGGGACTGACTCAGGGCCTCACAAACAAGAGTCAGGAATTAGACTTGTGCCTATAAACTCCATGAGCAGGTGTTGGCCTAGGCTAGGATTGCTTAAGAAGAATAATCAGGCTTTTTGTGGGAGAGGGAGGATAGCGAAGAGCCCCCCGGATGCTCTTTCTGTTCTGGGTTTGGCTCATTTGCAAGCCACTTAAGCTAAATTTATGGCTAATGAGTCAAAAATGTGACTATTTCCAGGAGTGACAGGAAAGTTTAGGCAGATCCACACTAGCAGGCCTCAGAGCATGGAAAAGTTCTCTTGTTTTCTTTACCTCTCAGAATCGTGTTCTGACATTTTCCCTGGGGTTTTAATGTGAATTTCCCTCTGTTCAAGGCCACAGTTCAGATTTAGTCTCCTCCAAAAGCCTCACTGAGAGCTGAGAAGCAAATGCAGAGGCGAGGAAGGGGAGCAATGGGGATGCAGCTCCTCCACTGCCTTTATCTCACTGAATTTGGCTCTGTTCAGGGCAGATATCAGCCTTTGGCTGGGGCTTCTCAAGGTGTCTGGAGAGATTAAAAAATAACCTGAAATAACCTCATTTTGGACACATCCACTGAAGGCATTGCAGCTGTGAACCCGGGCAAGTTCCTGGGCTAATATTTTTGGGATAGCAGGAGCCAGAGTGGCCTCCTGAGGTGTGGGCACCTGCCAGGCTCTCTGTGTTCTTCCAAAAACTCCTCCGAGTCACAGGACTTCTAATAAAAACATGTTCTCTTTTGAAAAAGAACCGATGGCTGTGATGTTCTTTTGTTCTGGGTTTTGAGGAGTGAGGGCTGAGGGGCTCGAGGGAAGGCCAAGGACGCCACGGTCACTGGTGCATTCCCTTTGTGCAGCTCAGGAAGCAGAGAGGAAATGAGGAAAGGTGAGGTCAGGAAGGTGAGGAAATGAGCCAGGAGCCCTGGAGGTCAGGCTGGAGCTGTGAGGCTCAGATTTGTGAGCAATGCACCCACAGCCTGCTTTGCCAATGAATCAGTGCTGCAGAGAGCTTAGGAGCCCCCAAACTGAGGGGTTTGCTCTTGCTGGACAGAAGAATAATTTCAATTCTGGCCATGGCCTTCTCCATCTTTTGTTTTTTCTCTGCCTCTCTGGTTTCACTGGGGCAATGCCCAGTTCTGAAGGGCTGCAGGGTAACTTGTCTGTGGTTTTTCTGGAGAAGCAATCAAAAGCATGAGAACATCTTGGGGGTTACAAGATGTCCTAATTCACCACTGAGTGGCTGGTTCTGGTTGTTTCTGCTCCTGCTGGGCCAGGGCTCTGCTGTCTGGAGTTGAGGAGAGCCTGGATTGGCTTCCAATGAGGAAAACCTCTTTCTTCAGCTGAGGGACAGTACTGGGAGAGTATCCCAGGGCACCCAGACTGCTTGTGCAACCAGAGTTACCTGGGGAGGTTTGGTGTAAAATAAGTGCCCTCAGGTTCTCATCTGCCAAATCACACCCAAGGATAATTTCAGTGCTGAACCCTCTAATGTGATGCTAGGAAATCACCCAGCTCCACTAGCCCACTGTATTTCTTATTTCAAGTAATGTGATTTTTCATGCTTTTAGTCTGTCAGATATCCCTGAGGGCTTTTACAGCCACAAAAGGTGAATTTTAGTAACGGCCTACTGAACTCCCAGGTTTCCAGCTCTTGTTTATTCCCAGCTTAATTGTGGACAAGGAGTTTCCCAGTGTAGGTAACATAATAAATACATTCTGTGATGCTTTTCAGTGCTGTGAGCTCTGGTTAGAACAGGTCCAGGAGAGCAGGGGGAGGCTGTGGCTGTACTAAATGAGGCAGCAGTGTGCAAACAACTGTCTGCAGAGGTTCCTGCCCTGAGCTGTTTTGCTGAACTCTGATCATCTGCAGGCCAAACGAGCCAGTGCAACACAGCCCATTGAAATGGCTGACTCTGCACAAAGCAAACAGGAAAATTGGTGTATAAAGCTGCACCTCGCTTCTGGTACGATCCACAGGGAGGTGATTTCACTCACTGCCTTGCACCTCACCGTGCAAAGTTTGTGCTAGGAACAAAAAAATCAACCCACAATTTCTGTGTGTCCCACCTCCTGCATGAAATGATCTGTGACTCTTTAGGACTCTGAGTATTCCGCTGTGAACATCTCTGTTTTTCTTCCTGGCTGCTCATAGAATCCCAGAGTGGTTTGGGTTGGAAGGGACCTTAAAGATCATCTCATCTTATTCCAAAAAATCCTCTGATTCTATCCCAGGTTGCTCCAAGCCCCATGCAACCTGGCCATGGACAGGCAGAACTTCTCTGGGAATTCCATCCCAGCTCCTCATCACCCTCACATTGAAGAATTTTTTTTCCCTAATATTCCACCTAACCATGCTCCTAATGTGAAAACATCAGCCCTATAATCTCCTGCCTGCCCACGCTTTTCTTTGTCTTAAGCTAAATATTAAAGCAGCTCCCACTCAGGTGTTACTGAGGCTACTGGAGGGCCAGCAGAGGTGGAGGGAGGAAGGTGAGACTTCAGATTTGTCAGAGAGGCAAATGCACTATTAATGCTCACGAGGATGTGCTGAAATAGCAGGAGGATGAGCATTTTGTAGCAGTAGGAACCTGTACCTGGCCTGAACTGGTAAAGTAAGATCTGTATCTTGTTGGACACCCAGCTGAAAGCACTAATTATGAGTGCTGTAAGAGGCAGGTCAACCACTCCCACCGTCTGCATTTCAAAAGGTAAAACTTGACAGGATGAAGGAAAAAACCAATGCCATGTTTTTTGGGTGTGAGAGGTTGTTTTGACTGTAACTCATGAGAGGTGGAAGAACTTCTGTAGCTGCTTTAGGTGTCCTGCTTAAACCCTGAATTAGGGATGTGGAAGGCAGCAGAGAGAATGGGCAGTGCTGAATGCCTGCAGTGAGAAGAAACTGCTGGGCTTGGTAACTGCTGCATAAGCAGGGGATGGAGGGGATGTGCAGGCAGGCTGTGAGCTCTCCCAGCCCGCTGCAGCTGCACTGCTCCGTTCCGGGTGACAAAACCCCTCGGGGGATGTCACCTTGGACTGCTGCTGCTCTGAGTGCTCCTCTGTGAACATCTCTGCTTTTCTTCCTGGCTGCTCATAGAATCCCAGAGTGGTTTGGGTTGGAAGGGACCTTAAAGATCATCTTATTCCAGAAATCCACTGCTTCTCCTGGATCCTAAAAATCCCAGGGTATGGAAACATATTTTTCATGAGTAGGTGTGGAAAAGACCTTGGTATTGTTACAACTCATTCCTCTTTCCACCAGCCTCAATCTGCTGCTTCCCCTGGATCCTAAAAATCCCAGGGTATGGAAACATATTTTTCATGAGGAGGTGTGGAAAAGACCTTGGTATTGTTACAACTCATTCCTCTTTCCACCAGCCTCCTCCAGCTGGTCAATCCCTTTTGTCACATCAGGATTCTCCCTTCCTTATCTGCTCTTGAGTCCGGACCTGGAGCACCAGGATGTGAATGGAGATGCCTGCCCTGACACAGCCCGGGAGCTCTGCAGAAGTTCTGCTCACAGGTGTGAGGAGAGCTGGGTGTGCTTTGTGCCTGTGAAACTCTGTGTGTGCTTTGTGCCTGTGAAACTCTGGGTGTGCTTTGTGCCTGTATCTCTGTGGCACACACGGGGTGATTGCAGCAGGCAGGGTGGCTGTGGGACTGGTTTCTGTGTCCCCAGGCTACCACGGTGCTCCTCTAGGTGTGCCCGTAGGGACACGACCTGGTGTGGCAGCTGGGCTGAACGGGTGAAGGGTTTGGAGGGGCCACAGGAGGAGAGGCAGAGGGCATTTGGACAGTTTCACCTGCAGGAGACAATTTGGGGTCTGCAGCTTCCTTACGGGGGGAGCGCTGATCTCTGTGATCAGGGACAGGCTGGAGTTGTGTCAGTGGAGATTTAGGTTGGATATCAGGAAAAGAGGGTGCTGGGCACTGCCCAGGCTCCCAGGGAATGGGCACCGCCCCAAGAGCCCCAGGAGCTTTGGGACACTGCTCCGAGGCACAGGGTGGGATTGGTGGGGTGCAGGAACAGGAGCTGGGCTCACCATCCTAATGGATCCTGCAGGGAGGGCAGGGATGTGCTCCTTCCTAGGGATGTGCGGCATCACAGGGATGTGTACCTCCCCAGGAATGTGCACCTCCCCAGGAATGCGCTCCTTCTCAGGAATGCGCTCCTTCCCAGTGAAGTGCACTTTCCCAAGAATCTGCTCCTTCCCAGGGATGCGCTCCTTCCCAGTGAAGTGCACTTTCCCAAGAATCTGCTCCTTCCCAGGGATGCGCTCCTTCCCAGGGATGTGCACTTTCCCAGGAATCTGCTTCTTCCCAGGGATGTGCACTTTCCCAGAAATCTGCTTCTTCCCAGGGATGTGCTGCTTCCCAGGGATGCGCTCATTCCCAGGGATGTGCACTTTCCGAGGAATCTGCTTCTTCCCAGGGATCTGCTCCTTCCCAGGGATCTGCTCCTTCCCAGGGCCGCTCTGCGGGGCCGCGGCTCGCCTTTCCTGCCATCCTGCCGCCCCTATTCCCTCCTCCCGTCCCTCCTCCTCCTCCTCCTCCTCATCCCATCCCTGCCGTCCCTCCTCCCGGCCGCCAGGTGCCCCTCGGCCGCCGCTCGCTCCGTGATCCGGGGCGGCTCCGGCAGCGCGGCCCGGCAGGTGGGTGCTGGGGAAGGGTCCTGTCCCTGTCCCCGTCCCTGTCCCCGTCCCCAGGGACGCGGGAGCGGCTGTGCGATGCGGCCGCATCCCGCGGGGTGCGGAGCGTGGGCCGGGTGCGCAGGCGGCGCCCGGGGCTGCGCTTCGTGCTCTTGGTATGGTCCGTGAGCTCCTCCATCTTCCCGCTTGCGCTAAAAAAATACGGATAACGGGATAACGGTGCTGTGCTGGAGGTGCCCGTGTGGGTTTTAATCGTTTTCGGGGTGTTCTGCACACAGGGTTTTTAGGCAGGCGTGTTTGTTGTAGAGGCTGTTTTCATTCAGGGCCTCATTGCTACCGATGATACAAATTATAATACAATATATATTATATATAATAGATACATAATAATGTAATATAATATAATATAATATAATAATATAACAATATAATATAACATAACATAATATAATATAATATTGTATTATACTGTATTATATTATATATATATTATATAATATATATATAATATAATACATATAAATAATATATATTACATAAAATATATATGGAAATACATAATTTTATATATGATTGCATGTTATTTCTTAATTTCTTGCGTATATGTATACTGTATAGAATTATTTGTTATTTATTAGGTAGGGCTATTTGTTATTTATTTGTTATTTATTGTTCTGTAATTATTGCTGGTTTTTAAATTATATTGGCCTTCCTAGCATCAATCCCTTTTGTCACATCAGAATTCTCCCTTCCTTATCTGCTCTGAGTCTGGACCTGGAGCACCAGGGATGTGAATGGAAATGCCTGCTCAGAGCAGTTAATCCCATCCTTATTTCATCTCTCCACGTTCCCAAGGCCCATTAAAACATAAAAGTTTTGTTTACCCAGCCTCCAGTCATGCCTGGGAAGGCTCCAACGGGCCAAACAGGAAGGTTGGGCTTTGCAGCTCTGACTCCTCATCCCGTGAAGTCCCTCTGGTGCTGCCCAGGCCTGGGGGTGAGGCCAGAGCTGGGCAGCAGGTACCAGCGCGGCTTTGGCACAACTGGAAATTCCTGTATCCCAAATTCTGACTCAGCCTCTTCTGCTGCACTGCCCTGCGTGCTCAGGAGCAGTGAGACACGCATTTCGTGGGAGGGCATTATATGAACGAGGTGTAGAATAGAGTAATGTGTATTTGGAGGGTTTCAGCAACATCCACAAGTGTTTATGTGCTGTAATTTTGTTCTGGCATTTGTCTTTTGCTTGTTTGAGAGATTATTGCACAGTGTGTGTGAGGGAAAATGTATAAAAGAAATACTGCTGCAAAAAGCAATCTTTATAGGTATAGATTCTTATTCTTTCGCATCTAAAAGATTTGGAGGTTTTGGTGCCAGTAAGGATGAAATGAAGCCTGCAGTGAGGAGAATAAAGTGGTTTTCACACAGAGAAAACGTTCCAGGAGCAAGCAGCCCCATCAGGAAGCAGCTCTGCACAATCAGGGCCGGGATGGTTACGGAGCAAAGCCGTGCTGGGCTGTGCTGACACTGCCACAGGCTCGACCTCCTGCTCACTTTGTCCTTCTGATCCCTTGTGTCCTGCTCTTCCCAGGACAGGATGCTGTTCCCGCTGCCCCTGCGTGCAGCCTGCAGCCTGCTGGCCTGGTTCTGCCTCTACAAGTGGTTCTGCCGCCGCTACCGGCACCGGAACCTCGAGTGGAGCTGCAGGCTGGTCACGCTGACCCACGGCATCCTGGCCACCTGTCTGTCTGCTTACATCGGCTTCATCGACGGCCCCTGGCCCCTGAGCCACCCAGGTGAGTGAGGAAATCGTGATCCCACCTCCCCTGGGGCTCTCCCAGCACGTCAGTCCCCAGCCTGCCTGAGGGATGGTGCCTGCAGTGGGATCTCAGCCGCTCTGTGGTGGAAAGCCCCAGAGGAATGGAGAGCCTGGTGCTGTATTTTGCTGGTGTCATGCCCCTCCCCAGCTGTAGTTTGGCAGAGCGTGTGACCTCGTGTGTGGCCATTACGTGTGCGCAGCTGCCGGACTAACAACTGTGGCATTGTCACTCGCGGGAGACTTCCGTGGCCGGGCTGTCACCAGTGCCACCCCTGCACTGTCTCACATCCTGTCACCTCCACGCTTTAAAGCTCTGCTTTTACCTTTCAGGGTCGCCCAACACAACCCTTCAGGTGCACGGGCTGTGCCTCAGCTTGGGCTACTTCATCTTCGACCTGTGTTGGTGCGTGTACTTCCAGACGGAGGGTGCCCTGATGCTGGCCCACCACCTGGTGAGCATCGTGGGCATCGCCGCCTCCTTGGCCCTGGGCGAGTCGGCCGCGGACGTCAACGCCGTCATCTTCGGCAGCGAGATCACCAACCCGCTGCTGCAGGCCCGCTGGTTCCTCAAGGAGCTGGGCCGCTACCACACCTTCACGGGCGACCTGGTGGATTTCCTCTTCGTGGTGCTCTTCACCGGCGTGCGCATCGGCATGGGGGCCTGGCTGATGTACTGCGAGCTGGCCTCGCCCAGGCCGCGCTGGTACATCAAGCTGGGAGGGGTCATCATGTACGTGGTGTCCTGGGTCTTCATGGTCAGCATCTGCCGCTTCGCCCGCAGGAAGAGCATGAGGAAGTACCAGGCCTGGAGGAGCCGCAGGAGCCACGAGCTGGGCTGGAAAACCAACGGGCACCTCAAAAGCCGCTGAGTGGAGGCTGAGCGAAGAGTTCCTCGAGTTCGCGGGCTGGCAAGGAGGGGGATCGTGCCTGAAATGCCGCTGTTGGGAGAGGAGCCAACGCACGTTGGCGGTTCTGGAGCCAAGTTTATCCCTGGCCTAACTCCACTGAAATCCGTGGAGCTATGCCACGGATTCACTGGGTCTGCAGTGCTCGGCCTGGCAGAGGCTGGCGCGGTGTGCACGCAAGCACGGCCTGAACGAGGAGGGAAAGAAGGGCTAATTTTATAGACTAAGCATGGCTAGTCCAGCAGCGCAGGTGTAAATAGTGATGTGTGTAGCCAGCTCCTTCAGGATCTTGGAAGAGAGGAGGAGGTAACGCTAGGTCTCCGTGTCCAGTGTCCTGTGCAGTCTAGGCAGCTAGAGTGGCTCTCCATGCTGGTAGAAGAAGTGTTCTAGTGTTGCATCCAAGCTGGGATTCCTGGCTCTTCCACCACCCCGTTGTGTGACCTTGGGCCAGTCTCACAACTCGAACTCTGTGCCTCATTCCCCCTCTGTGACTTGGGGGTGATGGAGCTGCTCCATCTGTTACGCACTTTCAGATTTTTACTTGAGAGGTGCTACATGAAAAAAGTGATGGTTGTTAGCTGCACTTGGTTCATCATTCCCGTGTTTCCCTCGGGAGAAACGACTTTGGTGGTCCAGCTAGAGCGAGACTCTAGAAAAATCAGTATTTTAGGTAGGTTGTTGTTTCCTACCCTTTCTAACTCCTTTTAATAACTTGTTCATTAACGTATTGATAACTTATTTTCCGTAGTGTCCAGAAGCTCTAATCAGCACTGCCTAATTACAGGGTTAGGTGCTCTGTGAATACACCCAAAGACACAGACCCAGAAGGGAAAATTTTTCCTGATTTTTCCCTCTTCTTCCCTGACTGTTAAAACTCCCCTACAAACACTGCTTTTAGCTCCTTGGGTAACCAGCACACTCCACTTTGAGAAGCCCCATCAGGATTTGCCAGTCAGGGGTTTTCTTGCTGATGATCCAAGCCCTGATTTTGTCTCCAGAACACCAAAATTCCCTCTGCTGTGCCCCAAATCCAAACTGGGATTTCTGGTTGCCCAGAATCTGCCCTGTGGAAGCCACAGACTGACCCTGGCTCTCCTTCATCTGAACTGATGCCTTGATCCCTGGGCTTTGATTTCCCTCTGACTGTGTCTGAGTCACTTTATAAAAGTGAATATTTAGAGGGTCAGAGAGATTTATTTTGCAGCTTAGTAATTAAAGAAATGAGAGGCCCAGAATCTGGTCTTTTTAAAGCAATAATAAACCTGACTGTGAGAAAAATAAACATTATTTATCTGGTCACATTTGTAGGGAAAAACCATGCCCAGCTGGCAGCTTGTGGAGTTTATTTCATTGCATGTCCTTAAGCTGTACCTTTATTTTTGCTGTGATTTTTAGCATTTCCTTTGAGCCTCCAGTGCAGCTCAGGTGCCCCCTTTTGCTTGAGCCTTGCTTGCTGCAGCCAAAGACCCTGAAGAAGCCCCAAAAAATCCCTTCAGATGAGCAGAGCCAACTGATGAGCTGGTCCTGGAGAGGAAACTTGACTCATCCTGCACTATCAAGCCTTGAAAGGAGACCAGAAGGGCTGGTTGGGGCTTGCTGGTTCTTTTCCCCAGCTCTGCTCCTCTGTTGAGCACATCCAGGAGCCTTTTTGCCTCAACTTAACCCACTTTGGGAAGTGGGTCCAGTCTAACCTACCTCACAGGGTGTTTCCATTTAGCACCAAGCCACCTTTGATGGATTCTGGGTGGTTTGTGTCAGGCTGTGCTGTGTAAAAGTTGCTTTGAGTGAAGCACTTGTTGCTGTGAGCCATCAGCAGCGCTTTGTCACCCGAGCTGGGCGCTTCCCAGCATCCCAAAAACAGGAGTGAGGTGTTTTGCAAAGGTGCTAAAGGGCAGGGGTCACAGGGAGTGAGCTGGACACGCTCACAAAGCCCAGCTGTGCTGCTGCATCCTCACAACCAGCCCTGAGCTGAGGAAAAGGGGTCTGCTGGGCTTTCAGGATTGCAGGAATCCGGAGCCAAAAGGGTCTGAGCCACTGGCCTGAGCAGGGAACGAGGGCTTTCAGCTGCAGCTCCTGCAGAAATGCAGGTGAAAACAGGCTGGTCCTTCCTGGGGAGCTGCTCAGTGCCCACCATGAAGAGTTTCCAGAGCAGCCCTGGTGGTTTGAGCTTTGCTGAGGGTTGGGGTGCAGCTTTTTGGGGTCCCAGCCCTTACCTGGCCAGGAGGATGAGGACGGCAGTGACTGCAGTATCTGTGAATCACCTGTTTGAAGATAGTTTGAAATAAAGTGGTTTGAGTGGTCCCATTTTCTGAACGGGGGGGAAACTTGGTTGGAAGAAGGAGAGCACTGCTCAGCTCTGAGGCTTTAGAAAGTAAAAAAAAAAAAAACCCAAAAGGGCAATTAGAAATGGCTTTATGAGGCAGAGCAAGGCCTCGTAGCCCATTTAGTGGGCTCCAGCATAGAATCACAGACCCAAAAGTACAAATTCCAAGCCAAAAAAAAAACCAAAAGGGCAATTAGAAACGGCTTTATGAGGCAGAGCAAGGCCTCGTAGCCCATTTAGTGGGCTCCAGCATAGAATCACAGACCCAAAAGTACAAATTCCAAGCTGTGGAGCACAGGGTGGGACCTGTCCTCAGGCTAGTCCATAGTGGCTAGAGCAAACAGAGGAAACTGCAGAACTAGTGTGAAATAATAACTTGTGTCTGAATTACTGTGTAATAGCAACTAATGTTCCACCAGTGAATGGTGTAGATGCTTTGTATTACGTTTTATAAAAATAAAGATTATTTAATTATATGAGGGATTGCGTTTCTCTGTTTGGGTGCTGCTCTTAAGTCACAGGTTGCACTTGATGGTTCTGGAGGGCTTTTCCACCCTCAAAGATTCAGTGGTTCAGTAGGATGGAGCAAAAATGTTCCCTTTGTTTTTCATGCCCTGGATGCCACGGGAGAAGATTCTCTTGTGTTTCCACACTGTGAGCTCTTCCCAATCATAAATTCCTATTATTGCCCAGGAAAGCCCTGTGGTGGTGTGTTGGTAAACAGCCACTCTGCTTGCTGATGGCCACAGCCAGAGACCCAGCACGCCAAAAGTCTTGCCTTCTATAAATAGTTAAGCCAATTTAGTTGTTTGCATGTAACCCTTAAGTCCAGCTTAAACCCCTCCAGCACTGGGGAGCAGCTGCTGAGCAGCACTGAGCCCTCTGGAGATGTTTTCTGTTTACAGCCTGGGGGTGGAGGGCTCTCAGAGCCTGCAAGAATCTGTGCTGGCACTTTGTTGAACCTCTGAGGTAATTCCAGATGCAGAGAAGAAAGTACAGCAGAGTTCTGGAGCTTTGCTTCAGAGCTGCAAGTGTCTCACAGGTCTCGTGTCTTCAGAAGTGACAAAATCTGGCGTTGTCAGTGGTCAGATGTGCTTTGTCCGTGAAAAGTGAAATCTGCCCCTCTACACCCAATTAATTTCATTTTTTATCATCCTGTTATTTCTTTACAGGCCACCCTGCTGCCTGCCTTTTGCTTCTCCTGCTGGCCCTGCAGTCGAGCTTTGTAAAATTAACCTCCCCTCTCAGCCCTCTGGCCTCTCTTTGTAGCTGAACTCCTTATTTGTACTTGAAAAAAATTGAAATTTTTTGATATTCACAGCTTTATTCCCTTGCAGCAGTAGTCCAGGCACTGATGTAAAAGCAGCATTTTAAGTCTTTGAAATCTGCTATTACATTAATACCATGGGGTTTGCCATGTCCAAAGAAGTCAAAGCCCTCTTTGCCTCAAGTTCCAGGGGCAGCTTGGCAGCTGACAGGTCAACAGTGTAAAATATCCTTAGGAAATTACTAAAAGAAGGAATATAACAGATCAAGGTACATGGAAAAGCTTCTGTAAAGTAATAAAGGTTGACAGGTAGATAATTTTGTATGGGAAGAAGGAAGTTTCAGCTTCTCAAATGTTACAAAACACAGATTTTCAGCAGTGCTTGTGTTGTGCAGTTTGAACTGTGTCTTGTGCCAGAATGAGATCTGTCCAGTGCCACAATCCTCAAACATGAAGAGAAATTACATTCTCTATTTAGATTTTACCTCTTTCATTTTAATCCCCCCTCCAGCCAGAGATGGAGAAAGAGAAGAAAACTCAGGGCATGATGTCCAGCAGATTCCTCTGTCCTTGCTGCTTTCATTATGCTGATATGGAACGAAAGCTCAGTGCTATAAAAATGCTGACTGCCCCTGGATTATCCAGATTTAGGAACTGTGATAAGCTGTCACTCTAGAAGCTCTGCTAGATTAGGCTCTCTGTGTCTCAAAATCATCAAAGCTTTGTGTCCCACACCAATCCTCGGTGCATTTCCAGAGTGCAGGACTGTAGGAAGAGAATCTGGTGCCCATTTTAAGGTGGGAGATAGATTAGGCTCTCTGTGTCTCAAAATCATCAAAGCTTTGTGTCCCCTGGGTGAATTTCCAGCATTTCCAGAGTGCAGGACTGTAGGAAGAGAATCTGGTGCCCATTTTAAGGTGGGAGATGAAAAAAGGTTTGGAAATTGCACAGAAATGTGGAGCACCGCACAAATTAATTTGTGGATTAGGTCCTCTGTCCATTAGGAGTCACAAATTTCTAAGCACATTTGGGAAATGAACTTGGGAATTGTTTTCCCTTTTCTTTTTCCCTCCAAGATGTAAAGGTTTGGCAGCTGGCTTGCAAAACCAGCAGAAAAACAGGAGCTGGATGAGCAACTGTTAGTGAGCATAAATAACAGTTCCAAATACCTGAGCATCCTCTCACTGGCTTGAAATTGATTACTTGTAAGGAGAAAAAGAGTCTTGACCCACTTAATTTTTGTGGTGGAGCTCAGCAAATCTCAGCTGATCATCCCATCTGAAACACAAACTGAAATTTTTCTGTAAGAGAAACGCTCCCAGGCACTGTTTATCCACACTTAAACCCTCAAAGCAGCACTTTTTGCTGCTTTTTATCTCTGTTTATGCCGAGCTGACAGCGGCGCAAACCCCCTCGGAGCATTCCAGAGCTCCAGGAACCCAGAGCTCTTGGGAATGTTCTTTTTCCCAAATTCCTCACCTTTTACCTGCCCCGGGAGCTCAGGTTGGAGGAGCCATTCGAGGCTTTCCCAGCAGATGGCAACAGCTCCTCGGTGCGAGCCTGGGAAAGGGGATTTGGCCAAAGGATCCTCGCTCAACACTTCCTCTCTAAATCTGATTTTACAGGAGTCCCTCTAAAGCACCTCCAAGGATCTGACCGTGATTTTAAGGTAAAATAAGAAGTTTTACTCCATCAGAATTATCTCCTCCCCTTCAGGGTCCTGCTTAGCTCTAAAAAACAGATTGAGGAGGTTAATTAGAGAATCACAAAATGGTTTTGTGTTGGAAGAGAACTGAAAGATCATCTTGCTCCAAGCCTGCTGCCACGGGATGGTTCTGTGTGTAAATTCAGGTGAAGTGACAACTTCAGAGCTCAACAGAAAAAAAAAAAAAGGGCACACTGTAATTGCTTATTGATTTCCTCACCCTGTATTTCAGGCTGTAAAACAGAATTATCATAAATACCTATCTTAATCTAAGTATGTAACCAGCTCCCACCAAAAAAAACAAAACAACCAGGATTTGCAGAAAAGAGAAAAGAGAAGCAGTTACAGTTTCAGAATCTATGTCTTAGGATTTCCTCCAGCTAATTGTTCTCGTTATGTTGTCATGCACAATAAAATATAATTAAAGTAATAAAAAAGCATCGAGGCCTAATATGCAAATGCTGGCCCTGCCAGGAATCAGATCTCCCAGGAGCCTTCCCCTCTCCAGGCAGAGTACTCGATGTTCCCAAAGTTAAAAGCAGGGAGGGATTTATTGCAGAGAAGATGCAATAAAGAGATATATATAATAAATAAATATAGATATATGGAGGCATTCAGTCACTTCATCAGCACTGATGACTGTACTGCACACAGCTGCACAAGGAGAGGCAGACGTGGCTGCTTGTCTTGCACTCCCACACTTTATTTATTTATTTTTTTTCCCCCCGAGCCTCTATTTTCCCCTAAAAGGAAACCAAAAAAGGAAGCAGCAATGTCCTGCGTATATACGTGAAGTATCATGAACATGATTTCATCCCACGCTTCCCCTCTTTGCTCTGAGCTCCATCAAAACAACAAATTCTTCGGGCGCTCAGACATTCGGCTGGCTCCCCGACCCTCGCTCCGAGCAGGACACAGCTCCGTGGTCCAGAGCAGCCGTGGCTGGATGTAGCCTCAGGCAAGGTATGGTCCTGTGTCCCAGCCAGGGAGCTGCTCCCCACTTTCCAGAGCCTGTTCTCCAGCCTCTTTCCAAGCCCAGTGTCCCGGCTTTGAAGTATATCCCGGCAAGATTAATTAAAGGGAAGAAGCGTGGTGTCCTAGATGATTTGGATTAGCTAATAAGGTTATTTTAGTCTGCTGGCATTTGCTGGGGGAGGCTGATGTTCCACAAGTTCCTTTGTGCAGAGGGGGCAGGAATTGCTGGCAGTGGAGACATCCTGCTTTTCATTCCACATCTGTGCTGCTCACGAGCTGTAATTTCTGGAGGAGTAGCATGGAAGTTTCCTGAGGGTCTCAGGTGTAGATGTTATTTCCAGGTGCTGGAGAACAAGTGGCTTGAAGTGCCAGGACAAGGGGGAATGGCTTCACACTGACAGAGAAAAAAAATATGATTAGGAAAAAATTTCATTGTGAGGGTGGTGAGGTTGCCCAGAGAAGCTGTGGTGGATCCCTGGAAGTGTCCAAGGGCAGGTCAGAGCAAGCTGGGATAGTGGAAGGTTGGAACAAAATCATCTTTAAGGTCCCTTCCAACCCAAACCATCCTGGGATTATGTGCAGATTCCAGACAGGCATTTCTCTCTCGGACTGTGCTGTACACGGCATGGAGGGCAGGAATTACAGCAAGGCTGAGTTTGTGTTCAGGCTGCGGCTGAGGAAAATCCAAACCTGCTGAAATTTAAATGCCCAAACACCCCGTGTGGCTCATCTTCTGCTGCTGGAGCTTTTGAAGGGGAGCAGGAACAGGCCCTCGGCAGCAGTGTTTCTGGAATGTATGTGCAGGGAGGGATCAGTTCTTGGATTTATGCTGACCTTAACCTTTACGAAAATTCCCGATGAAACACGCGTGGGAAATGCGGGACTGGACAACAGAGCCACGAAAGGCCTGGGAGCAAACAGCACAGGCTGAGGCTCCATTCTGCTCAGCTCCTGGCACTTCTACTCTTTTCATTCGCTGCTTATTTATTTTCTTTCTGCTCCAAGTTTCGCCTGTGTCATATTTTCCATGGAGATGGAGGCGCGGGCGCTGCCTGCTCTGGTGACACGGCCAAGTGTCGGCTGGCTGGGGATGGGGAATGGAGAAGGGAAAAACGGAAAAAGGGGAAAAGGGGAAAAGGGAAATATCCGCGGGTTAGGGACGCAGGGGGATGGAAAGCTGTTCGGCAGGGACACGGGGTGAGGGAGGAGCGGCTGCGACCGAGCGGAGACGGGAAGAGAAGGAAACACCCCGCGGGTCTGGAAAACGCTTCCCGAAGGGGAAAGGCCTCGGCAGGAACCGGGGGAAGGGCTGGGAGGGAGGAGGAGGAGGAGAAGGAGGGGAAAGAGGAGAAGGAAAAGAGAGGGAGGAGGAAGAGGAGGAAGAGGAGGGCGGCCGGCGGAGGGATCCGGCGGCGGGGCGGAGCGGCCGGAGGTACGAGCCCCCCGGAGGCGCCGGGGAGGGGCGAGCCCGGCCCGGCTCGGCTCGGCGCAGGCTCCCCCGGACGCGCCGCTCCCGCCTCTCCCAGCAGCGCAGCGGGGCCGCCACCGGGCCGGGAGAGCAGCGCAGCGGCGCCGGCAGCGCGGCGGGACTCGGCCCGGAGCGGAGCGCGGAACGCGAGCAGAGCACAGCCAGCCCGCAGCGCCCCGCTGGGTCCCGGGCCGGAGAGAGAGGCGGAGCGGCGGGGGATGGAGCCCCGGGCCTAGAGGCGGCCGCCCTGCCCGACCCCCTGCGGGCGCAGCACGGGCGGGGGTCGGGGCGGGCGGGCAGCGGGGATGGGCCCGGCCGCGGGCGGGGAGCGCCGCCCGCCCCCCGAGCGCAGCCCCTGAGCCCGGCGGGGCCGGGCACGGGCCCCCCGCGCCGGGGAGGATCGGCCGCTGCTCGAAAGGTTTTTTTCTTTTTTTTTTTTTTTTCCTCCCGAGTCCACCGAGATTGTTTTGTTGTTTCTTGTTGTTGTTGTTGGAGTTTTTTTCTTGCTGGAGTTTTTTTTTTCCTTTATTCCCCCGCGCGCCCCACTTCCGTGGTTTGGATATTCTGGGTGACTGCGAGAAGAGTTTTGGAGTTGTTTTGGATTGGGTTTTTGTTTTTTTTTTTTTTGGTTTTTTTTTGTTCCCTTCTCCTGCCCTTGAACTGAGTTTGTCCTCTGTGCATGCCGCTTCTGGAGCAAGGCTGGATCCTGAACCTCGGTGCATGTAAGGGGCAAAGCCTCGTTCATATTCCTGCAATAAGAATAAAATGTAAATTGGATAATACGACTTCTTGCCAAAGGCTCCAATGAGTGGCACACAGTCCACAATCACGGACAGGTCAGTATAAAATGAGATTTCTTGGTTTTTTTGTTTTTTTTTTGTTTTTTTTTTTCTTTTTTTGAAGCGTGAATATTCGCGGAGCTCACGTACTTTGTGTTCTGGCTTCAGTGACAGGATCAGAAGAGCAGGATTAAATCACAGGTTCTGGGAACCGAGGGTGTCCTGACTGTCAAAGCAACTGGGTTAACTTTGAAACCGGATTATTTCAAGTCCAACAGCTTTCAGGCCTGCCAGGCTGACTTTGTAGGAGCCAGGGGTGGTAATTCAGCTCCCAGGATGGGCTGGTGCTGCGGGGAACACCAAAAGCGAGGCTTCCTGCAAGGAGCTGCAGCAGCAGAAGCCACCAAAATTTGGTATCCAACTCAGGCCTGAACTCAGAGAGCGTGTTGAGGATGCGCTTGGGTCTCCTTGGGTCAAGTACTGCCGAGAGGTCACTCCAGGTGAGGGCAGGAGGGAGAGTTGACAAGCAGGAATGTCTGCTGGTGTCTACCTTAGCAGGAACCTGCCTTCAGATACCTGCTCAGCCCCTGGGCTGCTCTGCAGGTGCCTTTCATTACCTCTGGAGTCCTCTTGTTTGTGCTTGGGCGTTTCAGAGGAAGGGGAAAAAAAAAAACGTGACCAAAAAAAAAGTCAAGTAGGAAACATTTTAACATGCGAGTGAGTGCAATGAGTGTCTTCAGATTTTTTTTTACGAGAAGAAAAGATACCTTTTTTTTGACACTGTGTGTGGTAAAAACCATGTGATGTGTTTTATTGTATCTTCATCTTGGCTGTTTGGTGGTGAAGGTGTGAAGGTGTGTGGCAAAGGCCTTTCATGACCAGGCAGTTGTGGAGCTGGGATGGAGCAATGATGCTTTGGGTGCTTGAGCTCACCAATTTTAGGCTCCAGGTGTGGACAGGAGAGACTGAGTTTAAACCCAGGCCTTTTTGTGACGCCACAAGTCCTCGCAGCACAGTCCAAAGGGCTCAGACTTGTGTGCAATCTGTGTTTACAACTGTTCACACAGTATTAAATCTTGGCAATTAATTTTGTAGCTTGTACTAGCAGAATTTTCTTTTTTGCAGTGACATGATTTGAGTTGCAGGATGTTTTTCTCTGTAGCAGGCATGGCAGTGACAGTAAAAAGGCATTTCAGTGGATTTGGGAGGATTTTGTTACGTACTTCAGGCCATATGTCTTGTGGCAGTTGCATGATATCAAAAAAGAATGACAGGATTTTCATCCCAAGGAGCAGCTGAGTGATGCACGGGAAGGAAAAACACGAGAACAGGGAATTTAATTTACTTGTTAGTAAAACAAAATACTTTCCATTATTGAATTGGAGCAGCCAAATAAAAAAATGTCTCATTTCCTTTTGCTCCCAGTCATGTCAGGAGGATGTTTCTGTTTGGTGTTCCATTAAGGTTTTGGATCAAAAGGCTTTTAATGTCAGGTGAGGAGCTGTCTCCACAGCCCTCGGATTTCTGGGGTGGCTGGTGGAATGTGGGGGAACCGGATCTTTTCTTGTCACTATTTTTCACCTCTGGCCTGAAGCCACCCCAGCTCTGGGGTGCAGAGTCGTGGTTCAGGCAGGAGAGGAGAAGCTTTGGGGTGACCTCATTGTGGCCTGCCAGGACCTGAAGGAGCCTGCAAGGAAGATGGAGACAGACTATTTTAAAAGACCTGGAGTGACAGGACAAGGGGGAATGGTTTCAAACTCTGAGCAGGGTTAGATTGGTCATGAGGGCAGAATCCCTGTGAGGATGGTGATGGGGTGCCCAGAGCAGCTGTGGCTGCCCCTGGATCCCTGGAAGTGCCCAAGGCTGGAGCACCCTGGGGTGGTGGAAGGTGTCCCTGGATGGGAATGAGATGGGATTCAAGGTCCCTCCAAGCCGAATCCATTCTGGGATTCTCTGATGATTCTCTGATTTATTCCCTGTCTGAATCCTTCAGCAGAACCCCAGACGTGCTGGTGGTGTTTGTCCCCATCTCTGCCATTCCTTTTCATCCCCAGCATTGTGCAGGATTTGGAGAGGATGGGTTTTGTTCACTCTTATCCCTACAGAATACTCCCCTTCCCTTCAGGGCTGGGGAGTCTCTGTTGCCTCTTTCAGTCTGCCTCTGAAGCTCAGAATGCAAAGCAGGTGCAATAGAAATAATGTTGATGCCTCCACTGTCATTAGGTCTACGTGGATAAATCATCTGACATGTTCAATTCTCTTTGTGTTTGTCAATCACCTTCCTTGGTGGGATTGAGGTGGGAATTGCCTTAAACCAGGCAAACCCAGCTTTCATCCAGCCAGATGGTATTAGGAATATAATAGGGTAGCTTGGGCCTGGATTTTTCTCCATATTAGCTTTACATATTTGCATTTTGCATATATAGAGCTGCCTAAATCCACATTACAGACAGCAGATATTTCCTCTGGTATCTCTGCAGTTTAAGGTGGTAATGATTTGACAGCTGTCACATTTCCCTTGTGCAGGCTGCACTTGTCTCATCCTTGACATATTTTATATCTCTTGATGATGTCATGATTACCATTAAATATATAAATCAGGAGTGTATGAATGGCCATTTCTAATGCTGTTCTGGAACCAGGATGATAAATGATGTTTTTATTAAGTCCCCTCCTTTTCTTTTTTTTTTTTTTGTTTTGTTTTTTTCTTTCTTTCTTTCTTTCTTCTTTTATTCATAGTCTCTTTCTCTGGAAAGTTGAATGGATTTTAGTGTCTGGCACTGCTGAAAGACAGTCAGGCCAGTTCATATCTGTGTCTGGGTTCATTCTCTCCATGGATTAAACCTTAACCCAGCTAGTTTTGGTAGTGGTTATGCTCAGATTCTGTTACCAGAACTCCCAAAGCAGCATCGATTTCTGGTGTCTTTTTGTGCTGAGTTGGTGGAGGAGCTCCTGACACACACTGCTCGTTTTGGGGAGCACCTAAAGGGTGCAGGCAGACAGAAAACTATCTCCTAAAAAGCACTTGAGGCTTAAAAACACATCAGCAAAGCCTTCTCCAGGAGAGCCGTGGTGCCTTGCACGGCTGCTGGTGATTTGGGGGAGTTAAACACTGATTTAACTTCCCCTTCTTTCCCTCAGGATGTTCTTTTACTTTGTCAGCTGCTTTTTTTTTTTTCATAGTCCCGGTGCCCATTGGAGCGTATCAAACTCTTCATCTCCAGCCTTATTGCTCTGCTCCTTTATGTTTGTAAACATTTACACCCTCTTAATTTAATCCTCCCTTCGCTGTGCTGTGTTTGTTCAGAGGCCTCCTAAGGTGGCATTTATCCTGCTGAGCTTAGGAACTCTTTTGAGGTAGACATCCCTGAGCTGCTCATCTGGCTCGACTTGATCGTTAGTGGAAGGAAATCTGCACATCCAGGGGACCTTTCTTATCCTAAAGGTATCTAAAATCAGCCAGGTGACTGAGCTTCCTCCAGCTCTGGATTTAGGCGAGATTTCCCATATCTTTTAACCTGAAAAAAAAAAAAAAAAAACCTTATTTTTCACCCCTCACTGGTGCTGGGTTGGATTTTTGTTGCCGGATGCTGTTTTTGGTGGAGGGGGGTTGCAGATTTGAGATCCATCTGTGACCCAGGCAGCTGGGCAGGGTTTATTGGAGGAGTTTTCCTGTTGCTGCTGGAGTGTGCCCACGTTCCCTGCCTCTGGAGCTCTGCTGGCCGGACACTGGCCAGCTCTGGGCGTTGCTGTGTGCTGTGCATGGCCGGGTGAGATAAGGCCTTTATTCTTCCCAAGGCCACGCTGGGGCCAGGCTGAAATTCTGAAATTCGGCCATTTCCAGCCTCTGCTTGGCCACCAAAGGCCGGCCCGAGCTCGGCTGTATCCTGTTATGACACTGGAGAAACGTTTGTGTGCCATTAATTTTTTTTCGCTCTCGGAGTTAACTGTATTTTTCTTCCTGTCACCGTTCCAAACACACTTCAGGGTTGAGCAATTGCACGGCTGCAGGACTTGCTTTATGTTTCTTTCTGTTTATTAAAGGCCAATAAAAGAAAGGAGGCTCTTGCTTTTGCAGGACCTCGCCGAGGAACTGGTGACTCTTCTCTGCAGTTGCTTGCAAATGAGTTTTATTTATAACCCTGCTGTAGTTTCTGTTGCTATGATTGGAAAACAGCAGAGGTAGAATTTACACATAATTACCCTTGAGAAGTTTTAATTGGTGATTTGCTCCTGACTTGGTATTAAAATAGACTCTAATTGTTTCTTATCTGCCTTAGATGCACTTTCCCTGTCTCTGGCTCTTTGGAAGTCCCTGTAGTAATTTGGGAATTCTTTGACTGTACGGTGGGGAAAAAAGGGTTTTATTTCTTCCAGCAGGGTAAGAGCTGCTCAGAAAGTCACACCTTAGTGTTACTGACTAGTTAGATGTCATTACCATGCATTTTTTTAATTAGTAGAGTTAGTTAAAATCCAGTATTTATGGAAAATGGGCTGCAGCATGGCATCTAAGGATTAAAAAGAATAATAGTCTTTGAGTGGGGCTTTTCATCATTGTGCCTTGGCTGTGTTTGGAAATTAGCAGTTGACAGAGTCTGTGCATAAATTCCTGTTTTATTCTGCTGTTCTTGAGGCTGGCAGAAGAGAGGACTGTCTGGGGTGTTTACTGCTGGCTGGGACACAAATGCTACCACTTCATGTTGCATAGTTTATTAGGGCTTTTGCTGGAGACAGGAGCTGAGGTGAGCTTGATTTTCTAGTTTTGAGTAGAGCTGTGGGCGTTGTGATTATTTGGGTGGAGGCAGGAATGATATTTCATCTGTGAGCCCAATTGTATAATTTGCCTGTGCACAGAACTCCTGGTAATGGCATTTTAACATTTCAAATGGATGGGTTGGGAAAGGGACACTGGGATGTTGGCTCCTTCTGTTTTAGATTTTGAAAGTTCTGGTCCACATCTACAGGAATTTAGCAGTAGAAAAAAGTCTCAGGGCTGTCCTAGCTTGAGAAGGAAAGTGCAGCTTGCCCTTGGAGTTGCTGAGGTCACTGGTGGGATT